AGAATGCAATGTGTCACGTCGATAATGAAACTCGCATGTCGTCGTGTTATCAACATAACATATTACAATGCAAGCAGTGACGCTACGGTTACATGGAATTTACTTGACGGAATTGTCGCACATTTGCATTATTACGTATATATTCGTTATACAAGGATCAAATAATGGATTTTTTATTAAACGCGGTGGACGAGTATGACATAATCACGATGATTTGAATATTGGACACGTTACAAACGCCACATCTAATGAAAACTACGCCAGGGGTTTTCTCAAGCTTCGATTTTTTCGTAGAAGCGTAAGGGGGCTCGCGATTGACGACTTTGATTTGTTTTATGCATTATGCATTATCTGTGCTTTGGTTTTAAGGATCATTTTCGCGTGGCTGTGCCTCGGAATCTGTACTCACTGTAACTGCAGCGATTATGAATTACGGGGCAACGTCATGACATGATCGATGAAGCGGCGTTGATCGTGAGAGCTCGCGAACTAATTAATATGTTTCGATAATCACCCATCACTTTAATTGACACTTTCGACGAAAATTCGCGCTCATGTGCACTTTTAACGCATGAAACTCGCGATTGATTTCGAACCGCGATCGCGCGTTCAATGTTCATAATGACATGTCGCAAGTGATCGACAGAGGGCGCTCGGCGTCGATACTTTTCGATGAGAATATTTAAAGGACGAGTAATTAGAATATGTTAATTATAATTAGAATTCGCAATAAGAATCAGACGCTTTCCACATAAAACTTTTTAATAAGCTACAATCATCTCATTATGAGTATTTTTTTTAAGATTTATACAAGTATAGAATAATTTACTTGTAAAAGACATCAAAGTGTTTAAATTTCTAAATACTAACGCGAATAGAAACTTTCAGCGCCAAACAGCGTTCGATCGTGTGATTGGATCTTACCTATTATTCCAGCCAATTAGGATTGAGAATTACAACACTTTTTTACGATTTATTATATTGAACGCGGTTTATATGAATAGTAACAAATATGAGTAAAATAAGAAAAAGCTTACGGATTGCATGATATTAAATTTAAATTTTTTTTATAAAAGAGAGAACTATATTTATTTTAAAATTTACATTATTTTTATAAATATAAGTTACAAATGTATTTTTACACAGAATTTTTACAATAGTAAATATTACTGCTTTTCGGATTTCTTTTTTTAAATCTACTTTTTGATAAAAGCATATAAAAATATTTCGATATAATTCTGATGTTATTGTACATAATTTTATTTAATAGCTTTCTCTTATATGATTGAAATAATAACTGATGAAAAATGGATCTGTTCACGTTGTTTGAAATCTCCAAAATTTGTGCACTTGAAATAAATATATAGGGCGATGAAGAGAGAGAAAGCCAAGATGCTGAGTGCGAAAAAAGTAACGTGAATTACAGACTTAATGATATAACTCTGAAATAGTAAAAGAGATGACAACATGCATACATGTTGGTTATTTATTTTTATTTATAAAATACATACTTCCAAGATATAGGACAGTAAATAATCTGTAATAATTGCGAGAGAGACATGATTAAACATAATACGGAACGTAAATTTCCTCAAAGACAATAGACAAAACATTTCAAATACAACAAATGTTTTTTAAATGAATCTTGTACGACTTTTTAGGACAATACCAAAAATGTTCAAAGCG